AATTGCTTAAATTGGAAAATTAACTGCGATGATCATTCTTCACTTTCATCTACAACCGCAGTTCATATATGAATTATTTCATATAAACTTCACATCAGTTATATTTCTGTCGTGTACAAATAAATGCTTTACCATACCTTATCTAACCTTACCTTCTTTCCTTTCATGTATTATTTTTTATAATTATGTATTTTTAGAGTATATATTATATTTATCATATTCATATTGGTCATTTCTCAACTATCACATTTAAAATACTCAGTCGACTAAATGAGAGCTAATACTTATTATTTGAGACCCTTTTCAAATGTGCACACTAACAAATGGTTATTTAACAATTAGATTATGAGTTCAAGATTTCTATGAGGTGATAGTTGAAGAGGCCGAAGGTCGAATCAAGTATCACTTCATAGAAATCGAGAGCGAATAATCTTACTGTTTAATTGGAATTCTAACTGAAATTTACTTCTCGGCGTATTATTAAACTTCGCGCCTTAGAAAAATCGCTCGGATTGAATTGTCATTTGAAATTGCAGTTTTGTGCGCGCACATCATTTTTTCAATAACTTGAAGTTTATCCTGGATAGCTGAGGTTATTCGTCACACCTTTGTGTAGAGACTTCTGTAATAGGTTATGGAAAATCTAGACATTTAATCTGTGCAAAAGCGAATGTACCCACGCAAAAGGGAATGGCGATGCAACTTTGTCAACCTGGAAACGTCATGGAAATATCATTGTGGGACGGGTCATTAATAAATGGTCTCACTTGAGGGTGGATAAAAGGACTCTTTTAGAATTAGAAAATGACGGACTGTGCTTTCGTTAGGCTTCATTATTGGCAGCTGTCCGCAGAAGCTAAGGAGGCGCCGCCTTTCCTTCAATGCCGAAGTTGTTCGTCTCGCCCAGAAGGAAAGCGACCGGACCCGAGAAACTGACGGAAGTCGAAACGAAGCGAGGTGTTTGTACTATCCAGGTGATCTTTAGGCCAGGCTGTATTGTTCTCATCGTGCGATCATACATTTCAAGGATATGTGACGCCACGCATTCATTGCACTTTAGGGAAATGTTTTCTTTTTGTTACCTAGCAATCTAGCCCAATTCAAAACTGTCAAAGGAAACGGTTATTTATAGACAGTGCCAGTGAGTCTATATCTAACTAGAAACACAATATGTATTGGATCTTTTCACTAAATATAGAGCCAGTATCCGGCTCACGTGTTGTAGATGGCACGCCCAACGAAAGTCCCTACTTGACAGCTTAAACCGATCTGCTGTACACCGTTCACTGCATGTGGTCCAGACGACAAGATTAAAGGGTAAAGCTGGAAAGCGATACAAAATTCTATGCCACTTTTCTCTCAGGCTTTTCAGATCTGTTACAACATGCAGCGGTCCTTGGCGTTATTTACCAAGAAAATATTTAGCTTTTTGACAGCTCATAGTTTTGTTTGTTTTCAAAGTTTTTTGTTTTCCCTATAGTTCACAGATTATAGCCAGCTGCTTCCTCCATAACAATAATCATTTTTAGGAAAACATTTTTCCAAGAAACATAAAACCAGAGGGAAATGTTTAGTAATAAAATGTGACCCTATGCGCCACTTAGACTTCCTGTAAGTGAAGTTTTAAGAAGTCAAATAAATTCGTGAATAATAAATATCTGCTTTATCTCACTGAATTTCCTTTTCCTAAGGTCTATTCCTTTCACTCCCTACGAGTGCCTAGCTAAAATCCTGTGAAAAGGGAATTAAATCCAAATTTTATTATACGCACGTACGTACTCTACTGACCTGTCACCTTTAATAAACAAATGAAAATTAGCTATGTCCAGCATAGACTTGCCGTTACAAGTCGAGCTGCGAAATCGGAACACAAAGAGAGAAAAATCACCTCAAACTCGAGCGCGGAAAGCGCGAGGTAGATGAAACGCAAGCTCTTTTGCGCCCAGACCACCTACAACCGCTCAAGGACTTTGAGAAAGCCATTGAATCGCCCCTAGTCCACTTTTTGAGGATCGAAATTTAACTGTGGAATGTGAGTGTATATTAATTAATTAAGTGTTGGCTTTGTAGAAGGAGGAAAAAGTAAAAACCCTGGAGAAAAACCCTCTAGGAATTAGCTAGAGGATCATCTGCAGACTTACAGACAAACAATAAACAATGCCCACATAGAAACACTGCTCGGCAATATAGTTAATATCTAAGAAGCCAAACACTGGCGAAGCGGAAAGCTTTTTCCTCAAATCTCATGGAGTATCAACCCTGACCCTGACTGTTAAAGATGACAGTTCCTTGACGGAAGTAGTGCTTGGGTTCAGCTCAGCTGAAGGCAGCGTGAAAAAACAAAAAAACAACATCCTGTGTCAAAAATACAATATTTATATGTTCAAATGCCACGTCTGATAAGAAATATTTGTTGAATTGTCAGTATTATAATTAAAAATAAATGAGGAACCAGGTTTAAACATATTAAAATAATTAAAACGTTCTCTGTATTAAAATTTAGATTAAAATAAACTTTCGGCTGCCAACCTGATTTCGTCAAAGGCCGTAGGTTGGCAGCCGAAAGTTTATTTTATCCTACATTTTCAACCAGAGAACGTTTTAACTGTTTTAATATGTCAGTATTTGCTGCGGAGCGAGCGTAGCGAGCGAGCAGCAACATAAACAGGATTTAAGAAGAATATGTAAAAGGGGATCCAAATTCTCGAATTCATCACTTTTT